TCTGTCAGCAGCACATGCAGCCTTTCTGTCAGTGTTTAGAACAAACTGGATTATGCACTTTCTCCGCAGCAGCTCAGTCTGTGTCCTCCGCTATATTTTCAGATGCGCTCGTATCAAACTACTGTATATCCATATAAACGGTATTGCCTCATATCGAATCGCTTATAAAGAAAATATCGATATATATCGTACACTCTATATACTGCCCAGCCCTACTGCAGAAGATTCCACACGTTAACACGGAGTCTGTGCTTTTGTTTTTCTTTATTACCTTTCTTTTATATTTCTTTATAAATGTATAGACTACATCAATTAAATGTTTTCATTGCCTTCAGTTTATATATTTGTTTGAAGTATAACATTGAGCAGGATGTGGAATAACTTGTTTTTTATTTATTATATAAAAAAAGAATACTGTATTTTTTTTAACGGATTAATTGATCAAAATGATTGTTAGCTGCAGCCCTAGATAAGAAAGAACAAAGTAAGACAAGAAATACAAAATATATAAATATACATAATGTTGGTCTTAGTCTATATTTATTAAATACTGTTCAATCATGTACAAGCTGAATGGTTTTGAGCACATTACTAGCCTTTGTCAGATCTAATAAAGAGCTCCAAACAGAAAGCATAACTGCAGCGCCTCGAGAACTAAATTAAAAGACCTATCAGACCACACTCTTACATTATACATCATAAAAGCCTTTTTGACTGATCAGATATGTAAGATATCGTTAACTGGATGGACATTTACATCATTACATCATGGTCATTTCAAGATTATTATAAAGTGTAGTCCGTTTCCTTAACCCATGAGAAGCACTTTTCATATTCCGCAAGCTATTTATTTGTTTTACTTATCTCATTATTTCTCAGGTCATTTTATTCTAGAAGCTGTGACGGAGCTGGCCTTCATGAAGCCTTGCCAAAGCATCTTAACTACGCTCTGAGGATGTAAACATGAACAGGCTGGTTTTCCTCTTCTCTCTGCACACACTGGAGCACTTGATTTCTTTACTGACAGCACCAGGAAAAGCAGACTTTCTCTACACTATCACAGCAATGGGTGTTACTACAGAAAACAAAAAGATCTGTCATGATGTACTTATTCTCATGCTGTATCAAATCTGAACGACTGATCAAATGACTTCAGAAGACAGTAATTAGACACATGGACCACTCTGATGTGCATTTTCTGCTGATTTGTTGTCATTTCAGAGCTTTACAGATAAAGCCTTTCTTTTATTTCAATGGAAGAACAACCAGAATTCCTAAAAAGAATTCCATTGAAGAAACAAAGTCTCTCTCAGATTTCTTTCTTTCATCCTGGATGAGGATGAGTAGATAATGACTGAACTTTCATTTTTGGACTGTTGCATTTATTGCATGTTAAAGATGCAAAAGCAGTTTGCAATTAGAAAAATCCTTCAAAAAAAGTCAAAACCCTTCACAATCTTCAAAACATCCCACCAATCAAATCATAAATACATCTAATCTATCGGATCACATGCGAGTTACGCTTAAGCTAGCATTGCGGTGACGGCTGAAATCACACTCGTACGACGCTTACCGAAACGAAAAGATCAACTGGGAACACTCCAAATGTTAGACAATTAGCTCTAGACATAACTAATGTAAATTACATTTAAAATGAAGTCAGTGCACGGAATGTGCAAATGCCATTTTGAATATATGAAAATATGGAAAACTATCAGAAAGCTTCCACTAGCCCATGAATCCAGCAGAAAGTGCTGACTAGGAGTCCTCCGCCAGGTTTCTGAGACATCTTGTCATAGAATATATGTCTTATATTGTTGCTTTATTCATTCAACTGTATTCATCCACCTATCTCATGAAAGTGAGTGTGATGAAATAAGAGGGAAGTATCTAGATGAAGCGAACGTTTAGTCGACTATTAAGGGTGCAGCCCTACTGAAAACACATCTTAATACCAGGTGTAAACAGGGCCACGAGGTCAAATGAGGACGAGCTTCATTTTTGGGTGAACTATGTTTAATCGGCTGTGAGGCGTGACAGAACCTTTCTGCTGTGGGTGTCGATGACAGACAGAATGCTGGGTGGCAGCTTGTGACAGATGCGTCCTGAGACACGCTTCTGCTGCAGATCTCTTATTAAGAGCTCATCACTGACCTCCTCAGCGTCTGGGGACCCTTTTCCACCCGCATGCTTGCTGGGCCGTTCTAGAACCGTTCGGAGCATTTCCACCACAGGAATGGCAGCTCTGGGCTGGAAAAACCAGTTCTTGTTAGCGCTAAAAGTTTGCTGCTCTGTGGTACCAGGAACCGAGTATATCAGGCTGCATAGAAATGTCTGATGAACAATGCGTTTAGCAGTGATCCGCAGACAAAAGACATGCAGAAAGAGGGCAACACATAGAGAATAAATAGACTACATATCTCGCTTGTGCACCTTCCTCGCTGGTTGCATGCAGCACCAAACATGCTGCGCAACTAGTGTAGTCTGATTCATAAATGAATAAAGTGGCCGTTCTTTTTAATGCATTGGGCAAAATTGGCACTGTGACTTGTTGTTCATATAGGAATGATTAGCTAAATGTACAAAAATTATATATTTGTGACCCTGGAGCACAAAACCAGTCATAAAGGTCAATTTTTTGAAATTGAGATTTATACATCATCTGAAAGCTGAAGAATTAAGCTTTCCATTGATGTATGGTTTGTTAGGATAGGACAATATTTGGCCGAGATACAACCATTTGAAAATCTGGAATCTGAGGGTGCAAAAAAATCTAAATATTGAGAAAATCATCTTTAAAGTTGTCCAAATGAAGTTCTTAGCAATGCATATTAATAATCAAACATTAAGTTTTGATATATTTACGGTAGTTAAAAATTCCAATTTGTTACCAAACATGGGGTGCGTTTCCCATACAATACTGTAACTAGCAGCTTAACTACCACAGCATGACGCGTCATTGGAGAAACTAACTAGCTGGTCACGAGAGTTTCCGAAACTTTGTTGCACATCTATCATTCAAAACACATTGGTTCTAGGGCTGTGCGATTAATCGAAATCGAATCGAAATCGCGATTTGAGACGTTGCGATTTCCTAATCGCAAAGCCTGCGATATGGACGCGATATTACTCTGTTCCAGAGCATATGCATGACTGTCAGCCTTGAGTTGCAATCTTACTTGCCCTGGGCAAGAGTGAGCGCACCTCCGTTCTCCCCAATCAGCTGCTCTAGCCAACTGCGTAAACACCCACCATTAAAAAAAAATTTAAAAAATAAAAACGGGGCGGGAGAGAGACAGAGTGGGATTATGGCGTCTACTGGGTCAGATCGATAGTTAGGCAAATTAAAACTAAAGAAAACCCTGCGCACACACAGTCTGTGTCTGTGAATGCTGCTCATACTCGCTCCTCTCTGCCCCACGCGGCGCGAATCCCGCGTCACGGACGAGCCGTTCACGCTTGCCGCACATGCTCGCAATATCTGTCAAAAAAATCGCAATTTGATATTTTCCCCCAAATCGCACAGCCCTAATTGGTTCAACAATTACAATGACGCCACACATGTGGTGGAGAAATTACTTCTGCTAATTAATCGTTCCAGATCAAATGAATGCCAGATTTTTACTGTAAATATCAAGCATGGAGTCTGAGGACTACTTGGGTATTTTAGTTCTCTGTTGTTTTGCTTTATTTTCAGATGTCTGATTCCATCGCGGGTTTTCTCCTACAGAATACTTGAGCACATTCGCACTCTTGCTTATTTGGGTAATGATCTCTTTAAGTCAACATATCATACTAACAAGAAACTATGCTGCTAACCACAGGGTGAGAGCTGTTGTTTTACTGTGCTGAGTCACCACGTGATGGACAAGTGAGAACGACTGACTTAAAATAGTAAACCTATGTGACTACATTATGACCAGAATGATGAACTGTGACGGTCTGAGAGATAACACAGCTCGACCTAAAAGCAAACACACGGGTTAACCACACCTTAACTAGCGTGCTCACGCAAAACACAATGAAGCACATCCTCTGCATTCAGAGTAATATGTTAGGATGCAAAACAGAAACGACTAGCAACAAATACAATCCACTACAACAAATCGCAGAGGGCACAGAAATGTTGTCACAGGGCTGAATCTGCATTACACTGGCACATATTAAGTGTCTCTGATTCGTCAACTACTCTGTTGGCTGACCGATAAAAAAACACAGCCTCACCGACCTTCGAAATAAAGCTGCTGCCCTTTCAATGCATGCTTGTGAGGAATCAACATTAGACAGGCGTCACCGTACACAAAACTACCCTCAAATTACCATGTTTCTGACATTGTGCCATTGTAATAGCAAGGTATTCCTCGTCCACTTTGTCAGGTATCGGTTTCATATCTTGGTCTGCTGATCTTACATACCATGTCAGGAGCATCTGATGCTGTACTTTATGTAAGAGATTCACAAACGAATTGAATAATAAATGTGAGTCACCATTTCAGTACACAAACACAGTTTTTGGACATGTCTCTTTATAACACCAGGTCTTTTGCACATGCACCATGGTATTATTTGAGTTATCACGTGAATGCAATGATATACATATACAGTAATCACTCAGTGCCCTAGAATATGTTTAAATACCATGTTATTGCCATCACTATATTACAGTGGGTAAGGGAAGCATCAGCGCGCGCTGCCCAAATAAACAGATCCCAATACACAGAGAGTAACTATCAGAGCGCTGCAGGGAGGACAACAGATGTGTAAATACCCGTGCGTTTGTTTCCACACATGATCTCGTGAAACACAGTCATTTACTGAGTCTATTGATCGTTTATCGGTTGACTGTGTGTGACATAATCGACAGATATGCGTTTAATAGATCCCTTTAGAAGTAAACCATGCCAATTAATATGAATATTCAAACAAAAGAAGTAGCCTAAGCCGCGTCCAGGGCCGCGACACCCCGTTATGTGCCCCGACATCGGCCCGTGCATGCTTACCTGTCGACAACATCAATGCTTCCGCGAAAACTTCACCGGCCCACCGATTAGCGTGCTTATTCGGGCTCACGGGCGGTTATTACAGCGCGCGTCACCGGACATCCATCAGACCGGAGCTTGACGAACCTCCCGCGAAGCACTCCAGACGGAGAAGCGGGGAAGCAGCATCAGCTCAGCACGGCTCGGGCAGGCGGAAATACACCGGAAGCGCGCTAGTTCAGCTAGCAGCAGTGGCTCGGCCGGACACGCCCACACGCCGCGGCGTCACCGCTGCCGCTTTCACCAACCGCACTATGGCGAAGGATCGGCTCTTGAATATTAATAAGGTGACGCTCCAGGAAGGTTACCAAGCAACGCTTATTAATATTCATGAGGTCGTCCTTCGCCGTAGTGGTATTCGTTCTGGCTCGCGGCGTACAGCTATGGTGACTCATTAAATTAATGTTCTCGAGTTAAATCACTGTGTTTAAGATGCGGGTTACGTAGAACTTGTGGGGCACCTTAACATGCTTAATGAGTGATTTCTCGAGTTGGAAGAGGACAGTGCGCATGCGCGAGCGGCGAGACTCTGGTCCTCGTGAGCCATCTTGTTGTCTCTCCATATGCTGCACTGCTGATGTCACAAATCAGTGCGCTGCATCCCTTTAAGTGATGCTCATTCAATTATTATGAGCTTTTACAGATATTTTCAGTGGTCCGAACACCCATTTTCGGTCACACTTTACAGCAAGGCTGTATACATTAACATTAGTTAATGCAGTAGTTTATGTATGCATCCATCCATCATCTATCTATCTATCTATCTATCTATGTTAGGTAATTTCATACTTATAGCTTTCATTTTAACCTTTCAGTTAAAAAAACATGATTGTTTAATTTTCATATAACAATGAAATATTGCAAAACAGCTGAAAATACAGGCTAATAATTTATTTACAATGAGTAAGAGTAAATACTTGAGTAATTCAGTTGAACTAGACTACTGATGCAGGCTTCAAGAAATTGTAAGTAAGATCTGTCTCAGTTGCAGCAATGAAAGGGTCATATCACTTGTGTCATGTGGATTGCCATTCATAATTATGTGTCAAGTTTGTAGGTCTGGCATGAGAATTTAGAAAGCAATGTGGGGCAAGTAACCTTCAGTTTCAACACAAGCTGTCATCCATGACACCGTCGAAGGTCAAAAAACGGGCACAAATGCTGAACCCTGAAAGATTGGGGAAATAAACATGTTTTCATCTCTTTTTTTATATAGCTAACAATCTGACAAAAGCTCCCTTTTACTTATTTGTTACATCTGGAGAAAATGGGCCATAATGCTGGGTTTTGCAGAGCCACGCTGCACTAAGATGCAAACATTGTCACCATATTTCAGGATGATAATTACCATTAAAACAGCTGTAGTGGTTTAACAGCAGGATGACATCAAAGGCTTTCCATGGTCCATCTGCTGATGAAAACATCATTACATGTCCACACACAGCTGGACGTCCAGTAATCACATTACTACTTTTTAGCTCATTTCTCATTTTTTAAGCAACATACGTCTTTGTCTTTTAAAGTAACACTTTTTCTTTTTCTTTTTGATAGTTGTTCCTGGATGTTTCAGACATGCATACGTCCAATCGGGAAAATGAGTTGTTTCATTTCACTGCTACCCAGGATAGCGATTAATTAATATTATGTATAACTTCATACCTGGTTAAACTTTACTCAGGCTGGGAGATGTGTGTACAGGCGTAAACATTTCTTCTTCATTTGCTTCTTAAAAAGTGTGACAAATCAGAAAAACCAAGCAATATATGAAAAGAAGCCTATTGTGCATCTCTATAAACTATGTATTAAGCTTCACATTTGTCATCTATAAACTTACATGCTGTCAGAACTACTAAACTACTACGCATTTTGAATCTCGTGTTGTCTACAAATACTTACAGGTCAGGCTACTACATGAAAACCAGGTTGCATTTCAAAATTACTTTATCAGTGTATTACTGTGAGAAAACAACTGAACTGGTGCTCACCTTCTCATTCGCACCAAACTTTTGATGCATACATTTAAAAAGCATGAAGAGCTGAACTAGACTTCCCATGCTTTATTTGCTCCCTTGGTTATCTGTAACTTCCTCACTGTCTCATGATGAAACGCTTACAGTAGAGTGAAGGAAAACACACTTGGTTTAGTATATACTTTATTTGGAAAGTGTGGCAAAACACGTCCTTTAATGCGGTCTATTACATAACTTCCAGCTGGGAAGCATTTCTAAACAACTACACCATTCTTGTGGATTCAGGACTTGGAGCTGCCAATGGCACTATAACTAAAGAATGATTTAATGCTGAAAATCCTCAAGACTTTTGCATATTTTAGGCAACACTGAGCAGACAGGGATAAAAAATCATTACAAAATGATTTATACTCATGTTTATAAAAACATGAAATAATGAGAAAGGTCCTAAATTATATCTGAAACCTTTAATTCGCTAGTAACCCATATATTCTATTTATACTGTATAGAACCGGCTTCTTCATTTCCAGACTGGTCTGTTTGGACAACACTGATGTTCTGGAGAGCCTATGTATGTACCGAGGGCACTCGCCCACTCCCAAAACATAAATGAACAACGATAGAGTCTCTGAACTTCTCATTTGCATCGCTATAAATACAAAAGTATCTAGAGTTGAAAGTTTTAAAAGAAAAAAACAATAGTTCTCTCACAATAACGGCAAGCTACCCTGCGGTGCCAATATAATCCCGAAAACATAGAAGAGTCCCATGAGCAGATTGAGCTTGGCGGTCTTTTGAGGGATCTTGGCGTAGCACTGGCGGCGAAACTGCCTCTCCAGAGGGAAGGCCATGGGCAGCGTGAGCAGCGGCAGAGCCATGCTGATGGTGTAGCGCGTGGCTAGGATGCAGAAGAGCAGGTAGGGCACGAACAGCAGCAGGTTGTAGATGACGTAGGAGAGCGCGGGCCCCAGCAGGATGGCCAGGGTGACGATGCCCGCCTGCTTGTCCGAGTCCATGTCTCGCGTGTTGTTGCTGTGCAGGATGGCCTCGGTGTTGAGCGCCAGCGGCACGGCGTACACCAGCGGCAGCACCGACAGATAACCCACCTGCACTGCGTGAGCGAACATCACGGCCAGGGGACCGAAGGTGATGAGGATGACCACGTCCCCCAGAGCCACGTACTTCAGTCCGATGCCTGCGGTTAAAGCGCAACAACACGTGAGCAAACACTGTATGGACGGATCACGTTTGTGAAAAATGACTGCAAGAAATCAAGGTCACACTTCAGTTTGGGGACCAAATCTTACTATCAGCTACATCCTTTGCCTCAGTAAACTCCTAATTTGCTGCTTGGTAATAGCTAGTAAGGTAGGTATGTAAAATATGCTCATGCAGAATTAGGTTTTAATAGGTGCTTCACGAGTACTAATGAACAGCCAATACACTAGTAATATGCATGCTAATAAGCAACTAGGTAATAGTGAGAATTGGACCTTAAACTAAAGTGCTACCGAAATCAACAATATCCAAATGCAGCAGAACTGGACAATATAGATTAAAAACAAATATTTAGCTTTTTGACAATGTACAGTATATTGATAGCTCTGTATTCGCTCGATAACTGGCTTTAAAAGGTTCTCTAGAGTTTGTTTTTCAGTTCGATTTTGACCAAAAAGCAATGCTTATTTGATGCACATAGCTGACCGCTTCACTGCATTAAAACATTCAACTCTACGTGAAATTTTAAAATAAAATGCTATCTTCATTCGATATAGTAAAACTGTTTGTTCTGCGTCTTTTATTTCTGGATGATAGCATTCAATGCGTTCTATAGAGCTGGTATTACCAATCAAATGAAACCATTACAAAAAAATCCATCTTGGCACTGAGATGCATTTACGCAGAGGTGTCATGAATGCATTTAGACTGAAAAAAAATACATAACACTGTGAGAGTAAGATTTTAAAAATTACACTGCTGAAAACTGAAATACGAAATGATTTAAAAATGTAATTATTTTTTAAATATGAAACTAAAACCACCGATAGGTGTCAGCAAGTCCCTCTCTTCACGAGCGAGTCACTGAATCCTTCATGCAAATGATTTGTTCAAAACATCTGATTCATTCAGAAATGAAGCAAGTCACTGGGCACACAAACCAGCTTTCAGTATTTGGCCCAAGTCTTCAAGTGTGTGTAGAGCTTCTGATGACCCTCTGACCCCCATTTATACTTTCAAATGAACTTCTATATGTCTGCTCAGCTGTCCCTACAGTACGGTACAGTATGTAACAGACGGCACTATTTAATTGTGGTGCTTCTAATTAAATGACAAGCAGTTGCCATCGCTTTACAAAAGACACATAGCCTACTAATCTCTGCACCAATACAATGTGTGGCACCTTACACTGTACTAGCAAATTATATGTAATTTCTAATTAACTTAACTAACACTCTAAAGTTGTCTGCCATTGCACGATTTCGGGGCACATGAGTTCCTGAACATGATGAATGATGGGATACCACATCAAAAGCGCTATCAAGAGATAGTGTGGCTTTAGTGCGTGTTAAGAGCACTAAGCTTTGGCATTCATCAGACCTGGGAGTTTTACGCACTTACCTACTGTCTTTATGAATGGGTCACTGAATCACTCAGTCACTCAAAAACACAGATTCATTCAGTGAAGAAACACTGCGTTGCTCAGAAATGACTTTGTGTGGAACCATGTCTTTTGGCATGTACTCAAGACGTCTTTTGCTTGCTTTTTATAAAGTGAAAGTGCAAAGTAAAACATCAATTATGATATATGATATGATGATGTGAAGCTCTCGCCATTGATTTATGACTTTTGTGACTAAATTAGGCTAAAGCAATAAGCCCCAAGAAGCCGTGGTTTACGGTGAATTTATAACAGCTAAGGGGCGTTGTTAGCTTAGCTGTTATAAATTCACTGTAAACCACGGCTTCACGGGGCTTATTGCTTTTATAAAACGGTTATTATATACATATACATAGTTAGGTTTCACAAAATAAAACGGAACAACTAAAGTGTAATGATATTAATAAAAACAGTATTCTTCCACCAAACAATGTAGTTCCTCAGAATCAGTTGTGGTTCCAACAAAGTGGTTGCCGAGCAACACACAAATGTAAACAAAGGTGTATGTTTGTAGAGTAATTTACAACAGCTTCGAACACGGCTCAGCCAATCAGAATCAAGCA